ATGTATATATATATATATATATATTATATATATATATATATATATATATATATATATATATATATATATATATATATATGAGCCGTGTCACGACAAAACAACATAATAGGTCTGATCAGGATCCATGCTGTTCGCTATCAGTTTCACTACTTGTTATAGGGTTTGCAAGCGAACAGCATGGATCTTGATCAGACTGCGCGGATGCGCAGGCTAGTCTGGATCCTTGCTGGTCGCAAACCCATTATGTTGGCTTTGTCGTGACGCGGCTGATATATTATTAAGTGATTCTCTTTCAATTTTGACTTTTAACATTTTTATGGAACCGAGAGTTTTAGAGGCTTCAGATACTGAGTTAAATATATGCTGATGCCAAGATCCGTATTTACTAAATGACTAAATATGACCCACATATGTTTATGATGTTTGACAAAATGGAGTCGTATATTATCAAAAATAATTTTGATTTGATCATATTTAAAAAGGCTCAACAAAACTTTGCTTCGTTTTTCTGGATTGAAATTAACTAACCATTGCTAAGGTTATCTTGTTGCCGTCGCCAGATCCTTGTTCAGCGTTTATTTTGTTCATTTTTAGTGGGTACAGAATCAGAACTGTCGTCTGCCAAAAGTCTAGTAATACTCAAGAGTGCGTCTGCCATGTCATTGATATACATTAATAATAATAATAATAGTCTAAGTACAGAGCCTTGAGGAAAGAAAGAAAATATCGAAAAGATGAACTCTTTTTGTGAAACGTTATTTAATTAGTATTTTAACCATGTATTTAGTTTCACTTGTATGCCATATTGCTTTGACCTGAACAAACCAACTCTATCGAATGCTTTTAAATGTCACATTAAAGGATACAAATAGATTCTTTGCTGTCAAATGCTATGCAACTCTTGTTATACATGTATCAATAAGTTTCTATTCTCTAGAAAAACCTGACAAAAACCCGGATTGGTTTTGATGTATTAAAGAATTTTTATGGAGATAATTGTACAAATGTTTAGATATAATGCGTTCCATTACTTAACCAACAAAGGCTTATTAATGGAATGGGTTTATTTTTTTGATAATTCGTCTTTATTACCCTTTTTAAAAAAAGGCATAAACATGTGCAAGTTTTTAACTAGTAGAATAGTAACCTACTTATAAGGAATGATTAAAAAGTATACATAGTGGAACACAAAGCTTCTGAAGTTGTTGTTTTTTTTTTTTTTTTTTTTTTTTTTTTTTTTCAATAATTTTTGTTTGGCTTAATTTGACTGGTCCAGAATCTTTATTTAACTGAAATTGTTAATACATCTTGTTCACAAAGTCTTCTAGTCTTGGATTTGTTTTAAGATTAAAGTCTGGAAGTTGGGTAATAGTATTTGAATTATCCAACAATCTTGCTGAATATATCGCTTGTGTAATAAGCTATAAGGTTATAAGTTTAAAGACAAATTCTCGGATTATTGGAACTAAAACGTACCGAACAATGAGTGTTAATTTGTTTGTTCAAGTAAATAATACATAGTTCCTGAAGGGATTCGAACTTACGAGGATAAAAATCCTTATGCTCCATTTACGCTGCGTTTACGGTAGCAACGACATTTGGCATAAACGTGAATTTTGCCTGCAATGTCTTCCAAATCATATCCAATATTTCCAAAATAAAAACTGTGAAGAACAAAATTTTGTTAGATTGTGCCAAGAATGACGGTATTCAAAACAAGCCGTTTAAAGAAGTGTATCCTTAAAGGCACACTAAGGACACTGTCGCGTTCTACTAGGGATGCTTTCAAATCTGATGCGTTCTGATGGACTCCTCAACCTTGGTTACGTTTGTATCCCGAACTGATATGTTTATCACACTCCGTCAAGATCTGCAATAGACCAAACGTTGACGCCGTGGAGCTATGATGAACCTTTGTCTCAACAGTGTGAAAGTAACCCCTGAAAGACCATAATTCGGGTTTATCAAGATACTTCAGCAAGAAAACATGAATACCCGAAACAACGAAGATTGTTTTCTTGTTTGTTCATTCGTGTGTCGTTTCGTCAGCAGGAAAAAACAACAGTTGAGTCTTCAATGTTGTTCAGTGATCAGACTGACATGAAGCTCTCCTATTTTTCTTTCGGCATATTTTCTGTCGCATTTCGGTTTCCTTCGTGAAGAAATAATATAAAGAGTAGTGCACAAGTAGAGCAAATGCTCCGTTCCACACTCGACTTTGATTCTTGATAGTATCCGAGCACCGAGGTATGGGAACTTTCATGTGAAGATCTCATGCAAAAGACCACGTCAATCGTCTTATTTCTTTGGGGGGAGCAGTTAAAGTTTTTCAGCCGGGATCAGCCTCTGTATATACAGTTAAAGACCGTCATCTCTATGCAAGCTTTAAAGTTCTAATTAAAAAAGGTAAACTTCATGTCAGATTACTTATCATACATTCGGCCTATATGCGTCCTATATTAGAATACGTGTTTGTAGTTTGGAATGGTTGTACCGCTATGATAAGCAATCGATTGAACAGCTACAATATGAAGAGGCTCGAATTGTGACGGGTTGACAAGATCGGTTTCTATAGAACGTTTAATTAAAGAAATTGTTTGTTTTTTTCTTTCCGAACGTCGCAAAATACAACATCTCATCGGTGTATACATAACTAGAAATGACCTTTTACCCAAATACATAGCAAAATCAGAAAAAACGCGATATTCTTTAAGAAATAATAACAATTACACAACTTTGGCTAGGTGCACACAACTGTTTAATGTATCGTTCTTACCGTCTTTTTTCAAATATGGAATAATCATGAACCAGAAATAAGAAATTCTTGATCTCTTAATATATCTTTACATTTAAATTAAAACAGAAATTTAAAGTTCAAGTAAGTCCAAAATACTTGCTCTATGACCAAAGATATTTGTCAGTTTTAATGCAAGTTAAAGAAACTACTGTAGTAATTTAAATGATTATTTATTGTTAAGAAATTATCACAGAAAGGATTCTAAATGTGGTACTATTATCAAAACGTTGATTATCATTTTTACACTGCAAAAGATTCCCAGATCAACAGTTAACTTTGGTCTCGCGATCCTAGATTATATCATCCGATAAACGCTAATGCATTTCTGTTTGGTCGTGAAAATCTACGATATGATAACAAACTTAATATTTTCCCTGCTGTACAGAAATTCATCAAACTAACATCTCGTTTTAGTACATATTAATGTTGCCTATGTTATTTCAAATAAAATGTTCTCATTTAAGCCCTGTAAATACTTGTTGGGAGCATCGCGGGACGTGGATCGAAGACGGTGGCCGTATCTGTTCTAAATACATCAATTATTATTTTAAGTTAATCATTAACACATAAAAAATGTCGTAAAAAATGCCATAAACCAAAACCACTAAAATTATGAATTTTGTATGTATTTAAACAATTTTATTTCAACATTCATTAAACACATATTTTGTTTTGTTAATTTCTCAACTGGGAAGGGCTTAATGTAATGTTGGTAGAATTTGTTGCCAAGCCCTATTGTTATATTGTGTGTGTATGTATTTGCATGTATGTAGGCAATACAATATTGACTGTATAGACAATGTTAGACCAGAGAAGAGCTCAAAATACTGGCTGTAAATCGTTATTATGCGGCGCACTATATTTGAAATGTTACGAAACATCTATCGTACATTCTGACATAGGTTTCCGTGAAACGAAGCAAAACATAATGAAACCATAGAAAAATCAACATGTATCCATAGTAACAAGTGCCTCTATAATTTGATATGATTTCTAGGCTCATAGAAGCGTTTAGCTAAAACAAAATAATAAACTTCACTTATAGCGAACATGGTTATAGCGAATTTTCAATTATATGGAATAATTATTATTTTGGTCCTTTTTTTCCTTCTTTATTTAATATATAGAAATACGGTTATATGATTTGATACGATTACTTACTTGATAAAAGCGTTTAGCTAAAACAAATTCAGTGAACTTTATTTACAGAGAACACGATTATAGCGAATGTTCCGGTATAAGGAAAAATTATTATAGGTACGGACTTTGCCCTTCTTTATTCAATATATGATTGATTGAATTGAAGTTAAGTACAACTCACCATTTAAATATAAAAGAGGATATTCCGTATAAAAGTAAGTTAAAATCGAAATTTTGCTTATTTTAAAATATGGAAAGAAAACGAAAGGCACTGGGTCTCGAGATAAAATTCGACAATATTCGTGAATTCGTGAAGTAGTGAAAGGGAATAAGAATAATTTTTAAAAGTGAAATAGCTAAGGATTTTCCAATGCTCTCGTTTTTTGTTTTTGTTGTTTGTTTTTTTTTTCCTAATGTCTGATCCGCCCTTGGTATCCAAAGCAGACGCTATCGAATCATTGTGGGCATATTTTGAGTCTAATGAACATGTAGAATAAAATACGTTTTTAAAAGTTTACAAGACATTAAATGTAACAGGAATAACTGTTAACAGTTGTAAATGAAATTATTCGGTCTTTTCAAAGCCAGTTTTTATTGAAATACCAAGTTCTACTTTCTCACGCTAATAATTAATTTCACTGTTTGTGGATACTATAACTGTCTTGAATAGATAATACATGAGGGCCATGATGGCCCTGAATCGCTCACCAGAAACAACTGCTTTTCAGTGTTGGAAATTATCCATTGGAAATACTTTCTAATATTAAATTTGAGCCAATCAAATTAATATGAGCACATTTGATAAAAGAATGCTACAAAGTTTGGTGATCATCCATCAATTAGTTCTGTAGAAATAGACATTTAAAGATATTTTTATTTTTAGCATTAGCGGCCCATAAAAGGGGCCAATCAAATTAACATGATCAAACTTGATAAAACACTACCAAGAATGCTACAGACAAAATTTGGTGATCATTCATCTATTAGTTCTAAATAAGAAGACGTTTAAAGGTTTTTTTTTTTTTTTCATTTTTAGCTCTAGAGACCCCTTAAAGGGGCAAATCAAATTAATATGAGCAAATTTGATAAAAGACTACCCAAGAATGCTACAGACAAAGCTTGGTGATCATCCATTAATTAGTTCTGTAGAAATAGACGTTTAAAAGTATTTCTATATTTAGCTTTAGCTGCCCCATAAAGAGGCCAGTCACAATAATATGAGCAAACTTGATATAAGACTACCCAAGAATGCTACAGACAAAGTTTGGTGATCATCCATCAATTAGTTCTGTAGAAGAAGACGTTTAAAGGGTTTTCTATATTTAGCCTTAGAGACACCTTAAAGGGGCCAATCAAATTAATATGAGCAAACTTAATAAAAGACTACCCAAGAATAATACAGACAAAGTTTGGTGATCATCCATCCATTAGTTCTGTAGAAGAAGATGTTTTAAGGTTTTTTCTATTTTTAGCCCTAGAGACCCCTAAAAGGGGCAATCAAATTAATAATGAGCAAACTTGATAAAAAAAAAACTACCCAAGTATGCTACAGACAAAGTTTGGTGATCATCCATCAATTAGTTCTGTAGTAGAAGATGTTTAAAGGTTTTTTCTATTTTTAGCACTGTTGACCCCTAAAAGGGGCCAATTGAAATGACATGAGGAATATCAAGTGTGACTGTCACAAGGATTCTACAGACCACATTTGAAGTAAATCTGCACAGCAGTTTAATCTGCACAGCAGTTTCAAAGAAGAAGACGATTGTTGACGCATGACGACGACGACGGACGCCGGAGTATACTCTTTGATACTAATAGATCACACTGAGCCTTCGGCTCTGGTGAGCTAATAAACATTTTCTTTTCATGTTTACCTTTATTTAATCAATTTATATTTGTAATTAAATACAACTAAAGATGTAGGGCGATAGTTATCAATTCGTAATAAATGACTATTTTGCTATAAAGTTTCCTGATATAAGAAACTGATTGCTGTATGCTTAAAAGGAAATCCGCATATAAGGAACAGATTTTGAATGTCGCAGTGGGTTCGCTATAAGCACAGTTTACTGTTGTCATGTACCATTTGGCATTACAATTCTTGAGGCTGTTATTTTACAATGGCAACTTTACACTCGATAAATGTTAAGATAAACCCGCTTTGCCAGTCGTTTAAATGTCATCTCTTGAAATACAGGTAATAGTTCTTGAATGATGAGTCCTTCACGTCTTTATTTTAGATTTATTTTAATCACTTGGAAAATACAACATATCATAGCGAGGTTTTGTATCATAAAACAATTAAAAATTAGATAAAATGAGAGCATCATTTTGCCACCAAATACGACAATCGAAAATACTTGTGAAAATTTTCTTTTTAAAAAATTCACCTTCAGTTCACGTTTATATAATTCTCACAATTTCATTACTTTACCTTGGACCTCTGCATGTCACCTTGACCAAGAGGGATATTGCGTTTTTGCTTAACAAGATGCTTTACAATATTGAATATTTTTGCAAAGTATAGCAATCTTTATATATAGGTAAAAAGATTCACTGCAAATAAATGTTTTCCACTAACCTATAAATGTGTACCTTGACCTACACAGCTGTATAATGTTTCAATTTTTATGTTTTTCTTGATAATATGTACTTGTGTCCAGTAACAACTGAATTCTTCTATGCATTTAAGAGATATACTCCGGACAAAATTCTAACTTTTACCATGGCATGGTTTATGTTTAATATTGTAAAACCGGTGCAAGAGACGTGGACGAAGTCAACGAATATGTTCAATAAACCCGAGTCTGCAACATTTTCAGTTCTACCTATTTTAGCGTTTTCTTTGAAAGCTTATTTCTTTAATTTACATGTTATCATTTCTGGTGACCATAAGCAAAACTATGCTGGCAATACCAAGTCATGATTGACATTTTTTTATATAATCCATCGATTCAAGACCCCCCAAATGTCATAAACTAGAAATAATGGCCGAAAATAAATAAAATAGAATTTTGAAAGGGGTCAGGTTTATGAGCCTGCACATTACAGATAAGCTGTAACAAGACAAATTTTACAAAAGGAGACAAGATATCGTATGGGTGACTTGCAGTATTCAACAAAGAAACAATTGTGCCAACTTTTATTAAAATTTAAAATAATGCTCCGGTCAAGCATTTTCCTACGACCTCTTAGTGTCACTGTCGTTGATCTAGATGTGCTGCGAAAATATCCAGAACTTGGTTACTAGCATGGATTACATTTAATATAAATTAGGATTAAATTGCAAACACTTTCACTATTTACAAGAAAGCCGACTTTTTGCAACCATACCATTTGCTTCACGCTTAAACCAACAAGACCACCAGTTCACGTTCGTCCCCGTGATCTGTCTTATTTTGGTTGTATTTTTAAATTATTAGTCGATGTCATTATGGTTTTCTATCAAACGTGTCTAAGAAAGCACCATATGCGAATGCGTGAGCTGAAGACGTGGGAACTTTGAAGAGAAAAATAATATCAATAAAACACGTCGAATAGCAATATACAGATCAACTACTACTTATGAACTGTTCTATTTTAATTGATCTTATTTTTATTCAAATTTTAACCAACAAAATAAGACAAGAATCTCCAATTTGCAACTTTTTAACTTACCCGTACCAAAATCTATGTCGCAAGAGGCTTGATGTCATCGTATATGCGTCTACATAACTTTGTAAACAAATATGACTGCGCCCATAAGAGTTATAATTTTTACGTTGTTATTGTGTGTATGCGGCGAAGAAACGAATATTTACTGTGTTGTCAAAGAAACATTAACAACAGGATGGGAACTTGATCCCGTTTATATTACAAATCCAGCTACTATTTCAAACCAGATGGTAAGAGATCAACTCTATAGAGATATAGTTATGCAAACGAGTGAAAATGAAATATCAATACAGTCAACATTATATTTTCACTGTATACGTATGAGACGAAACCTACGCTATATGCACTTTAGAGGGTTCTACAGACTGTCCCTCCTCCTATTGTGTGGAGATATTGCCATAAATCCTGGACCGATAAAACACCCCTGCGAGCTGTGCTCACGAGCTGTTGGCAGTCCTCTGTGAGACTTGTGATAAATAGCTACATATAAAATGTGCTGATATATCTCCAAAAGATTATGTATTATTGCAGAATAACCCGGACCCTTATATATGTACTCTGTGTCTTAAAGTGCCACTTATACCATGTATACCTGAATTATTAGAATTATCTAAGGAATCAACTACACATCCTACATGTACTCCTGATCTGTCATCTAAACTTGAGTCATATGACTATAGACAAATAAATGACAGTTTTACCCCATCGAGCGATGAGGAGGAAAATTGGGAAGATCACACTTCTTCTAATAGTAAATCAATTATAAACACCACATATGAAAATCTGTATAGTGAGTTACCACTCAGGAAACTATAGATTCTTTGAATGATTTTAATGATGAAACAACGGAAGAAATTTTAGAAAACAGTGATATACTTAATAATAGTGCCTGTGATAGTGAACACCTGTATGACATTTTTGATGTTAAAAACCTTAAAAACTTAAATAGGAAAAGACCGATAATTGGTCATCTAAATATTAATAGTATAAGATATAAATTTCAGGAAATTAGACCCATTTTTGATAATAATCTTGTTGATATTTTCTGTATTTCTGAAACCAAATTGATCATTCTTTCAGTGATAACCTGTTCTCAGTTGATGGATACAAGTTACAGAGATGTGATAGAGATGCCCATGGTGGAGGCTTGCTGACACTAATACGGGCTGATTTACCTATTAAACGCCGTACAGATTTAGAAAATCAAGGTCTGGAAAATTTATGTTTTTAATTGAATTTGTTAAAAAGAAAATGGGGAATTATTTTTATATATAGACCACCTTCAATGTCTGACCATCTTTTGAATCAAGGCTATCTGAAACATTAGACAAATTATTCATTAAATTTGACCATGTTATTACAACTGGGGACTTAAACAATGATATGCTAAATCCTACCAAAAGTAAACTCCTTACAAACATCATGGATAATTTCAACTTGGTAAATCTAATTGACAAACCAACATGTTTTAAGAATATAGACAACCCAACCCTTATTGATGTAATTTTAACAAACTCCTCCTCTTTGCTATGTAATTCATCAGTTTTCAGTAGCAGCATAAGTGACTGCCATAGTATGATATTTACAACTCTTAAAGAACAGATTAATACTGTATCTAAAAAGAGAATACCTTTTAGGAGTTACAAAAATTTTGATGAAAATGTTTTTAACACTGAACTAGAGAAAGTACCGTTCCAAGTAGCATTTACTTTTGATAATGTTGATGACACTTACTGGGCATATAATAAACTTTTTAATGAAATTTTAGACGAACATGCACCTATAAAACAAAAATATACTAAAAAGTCTTCACCACCTTATATGAACTCTGAAATTTTAGACGAACATGCACCTATAAAACAAAAATATACTAAAAAGTCTTCACCACCTTATATGAACTCTAAATACAGAAAAATAATCTACCAAACAAGACAGGCACATAACACATATCTGAAATATAAAACAAAAAATAATTGGGAAAAGTATAGAAAACTCAGGAACTTCAAAACAAAAATAAAACGTGAATCTATTACCACCTATTTCATGGAAAGATGTAGCGGGGGCCCAAAGTCTAAAGATTTTTGGCCAACAATCAAACCTTTTTTAAGTCAGTAATCCATTTTGAAAAATTTAAGTAACATTATTCTTAAGGAAAATGAGTCACTGATAGCCGATCAAACTAAAGTGTGTGATATGTTAAATTACTTTTATGTAAATATAACCAAAAATATTGGGATAAATAATCAGACTATTACTCAAGATGAACATCCTAGTATTAAATTAATTAAACAAAACAATAACAATGTACAAACGTTCAATTTTTCTACTGTAACATCAGAGTCAATTGAAAAACATCTAAAATCAGTAAACCTAAAGAAAGCAACAGGATATGACAATATACCACCCAAAATACTGAAATGCTCAGCAAATATAATTTGTAAACCTATATCCAAGATAGTTAATAATATGATCAACACAAATTTATTTCCAAACAGTTTAAAAATGGCTCAAGTCACTCCAGTTTTTAAGAAAGATGATCCTTTTATTATGAAAAAATTATAGGTCTGTTAGTATATTACCATCAATGTCAAAAATATTTGAGAAAATTATAAATGAACAATTAAGCAACCATTTTGAAAATATATTTCATAATTATCTAGCCGCTTTCAGACCAGGCTACGGATGTCAGACAACTCTTTTGCGTCTAGTTGAGGACTGGAAGATGGCGTTAGACAGAAATGAGCATGTGGCAGCAATCCTAGTGGACCTGTCCAAGGCTTTTGACTGTCTACCGCATGATCTTACAGTCCAAAAGCTAGAGGCATATGGGTTGTCTGAAAATGCATGTTCTCTAGTTTCAAACTATCTTTCAAACAGGAAACAAACAGTTAAAATAGGAGAGTATCATAGCACTTGGCTTGAAACAATTAAGGGGGTACCACAAGGCTCTATTCTTGGACCTTTAATCTTCAACATCTTCATGAATGATATTTTTTACTTTATAGATAAATCCACCCTCTACAATTATGCAGATGACAATACTCTAGCCTTCTCTAACTCTAAAATAGAAATATTGAAAAACACATTAGAAAATGAAAGTAAAATACTTATTAACTGGTTTAACATTAATAAAATGCAAGCTAACCCTGACAAGTTTCAAGCCAAAGCTGTTTGGAAAATTACAAATGAACACTTAAAAGAATTTCAAATTGATAATGTTACAATAAAATGTGAAGATTGTGTTAAACTGCTAGGGGTAGACATCGACTTTTTACTTAACTTTGATATACAGGTCACCAGAATGTATAAAAAAGCTGCCAATCAATTAAATGTGCTCTTAAGAATTAGGAAATTTTTTAATTCAGAATGTCTTCTTCTTACTTACAAATCTTTTATAATATCTAATTTTAACTACTGTCCCCTTGTCTGGCATGCATTTTTGCTCTAAAACAAACACAAAAAAAGTTGAAAAACTCCAGCATAGAGCTCTAAAAATAGTATTTAATGATTTTAATTCTTCATATGACACATTATTAAAAAGGTAAATATGCCTACTTTACATTTGTCAAGAATTAAAATAATAGCCAAAGAAGTGTTTAAATACCTGTACGGAAAATCACCACCATATATAAATGATTTAATAAAATTTAAAAATTCCAATTATTCTTTTAGGTATCAAAAAAGTGTAAATGTCCCAAGGGTCAAAACAGTACAGTAACATACGGTAAGAATTCTTTTCGGTTTGAGGGTGCCCAGATATGGAACAGTCTCCCTAATGACATCCGCAAGGTGGAAAACTACAAAGAGTTTGGGAGACTGATCCAGGTCTGGAGTGGCCCAAGCTGTAAATGTGCTATGTGCTTGTAAATTTGCTATGTGTTTGTTATTTTGCTTAGTTTTAATTTATGTAAAATGCTTAGACTACATGTTTTGTTTGTTTACTTTGCTTTTGTGCATCCCATTTTAGTTTGCTATGATGCTTTGATTATATGTTGTGTGTTAATTTTTCTTAACCCCTTTATTTTATGCTAGTTGAATCTTTGTTGTATGATTTGTATGCTTTGTTCATATTAAAACTCCTTATTCCCCATTCCATTAGGCTGTGCATGCAACTTAATTTTAGTTAACTTTGTTTGTTACCCTGTATGTGCTTTATCTTGTTTCTTTTTATGCTGTATTAGTTCTATCATAAATTTTTATGCACTTTTATAAGTAAGTTTAATTTATCTATTTATTTATTTATATATTTTTTAGGAAACCTTCAATTATGTATTTATAAATTGTAGATGTTAACTTATAACTATTACTATTTATTAATTTTTTATATTTTATTATTATTTTTATTTATTTCACATTGCTATATGTAACATTCTTAAATTTCTAGACTACAGTCATTTATTACTTTTAGAAACTGTTATTACCTTTAATATAATATGTACTGTGCAAGTCATCAATCTATGCCTTAATATACCATCTTATTGTAAAGTTCTTCTTAACCTTGATACTCTTGTTTCATGCTTAAAGCTGCTAATAGTTTTAAATGTTTTTATTTTCAGAACTGTTATATGTTAGTAAATATGTTTTATGCCTTTGTTATTGTCGGTAAATAGCTTATTAGCTAATGTTTCTTGTAATATGTAAACCGACTTAAAATAAAGTTTCTTGTATCTTGTATCTTGTATGAATTTAATTATATCTATAGTTATTATGGGGTACCACAAGGAGCAATATTTCAAGAAGTACTGTAATACATGATTGAAATTACAATTTGGCACATTTTCAAAATTAATTTATCTATATATTTATCTATATATCAGTTATCCACTCAATAACATAACATATGAAATGATAATTTTCTCTCATACCCTGGTTTTGTCATCTCCATACTGACTGAAATTGAATTGTAAGTGCATTTTCTCTGACGCATCTTTTGTTAAACTGAAATAGATCAAAAACACGTACATTGTACATCTAATTAAAACACTATATAGAAAGTGATCTTTCTTATAAATTTGCGGTCTAGAAAGAGAGTATGTATTTAACTACATGTACAATAATAATAAACTTTGAATGCCACAATAATGACTCAGTATTGGTCCACTTCTAGATGGAAAAATACATTAACATACCGGAATAAAGATATTTTATTTTAAATTTCAATAGGGATTTCAAAATTTAAAACAAGATTTTCTCATGGCATCTATATTAATAGTCTTATTGAGAAAATAATAAATAATCATAAATTACTTAATATTTTTATTTGATTAATTGATTTAATTGATCTTATAGTATAACAAATAAAACCTTAATGGAAACGGAAAGGTGTTACGCAATTTCTATATCATTAAATAACAATTAAAACCTGTTAATTTTCTGTTTTTCCTGTAATTTGATGCCGTCGGATACTGCCACGGTTTTATGATTTTTTGTAAATCTCACACTTTTATGTTCGTCGACATGACTTTGACAAAAGAATTCATTGCATTCCACACAATAGCGGACTGATTCCTCTTCAATGTTTTGGTCGTCAAAGCATACATTACATTTAGTGCTACATGCCATAGTCATTTGCTTGTCGGACTCACAAATTCTGAAATAAGCAAAGAAAAAGATTATCATAATCCACCAAGGCCATGAAACTCATTCTCATTATTTAGTACGGAGGTTCGCAACAATTTCACATTCCATTTCATTAAAAGCCGAATTTTGATTCGCACAGTAAATGTGACAAGCAAACCATATTAGAATATTAACGCCATAAGCGTGGATTGAAGTTCAATACAGTACACTGTACAGACAGTTGTACCCAATATTCAAACGGGAGGACAGCCGTTCTATATTTTAGATCAGTAGATATAGTGGAATGTGTTGTGACAGACTCAATTCCGTTAGAAGTAGATAAAGATAGCTCACCGCTACGGTAATAAAAGTAATGACACCACAATAAAGTTAAAGATAACGAAGTGATCAATTGTTTACCAAATATGATCATACACTTTCCTACTAGTAAATACTAAATAGTGTTTTGGGGTTGCTGTTTTTAAATTTTTTGAGGATACTTTTTGTTTGATTTGACCATAATTTTTTCGAACACTAGTTTGCAGAAACATTTTTTGTAAAAAAACTTTTTATAAAAAATGTACAAGTAAGTAAGTAAGAGTTGTTTTCTGTATAAATAGCTACTGAGTGTTTTTTGGTTTGTTTGGAAAAATGATGATACATAATGTTCTTTATGTTGATGTTTATATTGATATGATATAAAAGAATGGAAACCAAAACACAGTGTTCACTTAACAATCACTTGCTAGTAATATAACTGACAATTTATTCATAACACAAGTCAGGCGGTTCTAGATTTACTCTACTTCAAACATATCATTAAATGGATAGTCCAGTACCTTTCAGTTCCCTTTTGCAATTAATTTACAAAGTCAATAAAAACTAGAACTATCACTAAATTTGAATATAACCCCCACAAGACTGCTTCGGAAATGGGGATGTAACTATTAACAGAATACCTTGTAAAAGAACTGAACTAGAGTTATGGTTGTGGGAAATTAAAGATAGTTGTGGTTCTTGTATGTTGCATTTCCTTTCAATGAGGTTGGGAATGGCCATTGATGAAGTTTTTTGAATTACTCTGTAATAAGTCCAGAAAGACAAGAAAAAAGGAACAAAGGGCAATAACTCTATAAATACTGAAGATGGAGTTATGGTTATTGTAAACTGCACTTCCTCTCATTGTGCTTGAGATTTGTATGGAGTTGTATTGAATTCCAACTACTAGTTTTCAAGTTATGCACTGTACAAAAAAGAAACAAAGGGCACTAACTGTAATAAGTCCAAATGGAGTTATGGTTCTTGTGCACTGCATTTCATCTCACTGCTATTGACCATTGTATAAAGTTTCATTGAATTCCAACCATTAATTTTCAAGTTACGCACTGGACAATTAAAAGTAAAAAAGGGCAAAAACTTTTAAATGAGTCAAGAAAGAGTTATGGTTTCTGTGCACTGCGTTTCTTCTCAATATACTTGACCATTGTACGAAATTGTATTGAATTTCAACTTGTAGTTTTCAAGTTATACTCTGGACAAAAAAAGCAATGGAAAAGTAACAAAAGGGAAACAACTCTTTCAATGATTTATTCCTGTATTTTAAAGCCGAATAAAGACGGTTTCCCCTAGCTCAAAATATGTGTATTTTTCCCTAAAAAGGCTAATATTTTCCCCTGAAAGGCCCTGTGCACTTCTTCACCAGAGTCATGACTTAACCGCATCACATTTTATATTCCAGGTAGAAGGCAGAAAACTGTCCCTATAGCCTGTGATATGTACCATGCATATTAAATTGAATTGAAATTGAAAAGTTTATAAAATGTCTTGTTAAATGCCATTCTCAGTTGTTGGAATTTCTGATTTAGCGCGCTATGTTTTTCCGTCAGAAAGCCACAGGTTGTTTTGAAAATTGGAAAACAATCACTGTCTATAATTACTCTGGACAAAGTTATAGTTCTTGTGCACTGCAATTCCTCTTTTTGTGCTTGACCATTGTATAAAGTTGTTCAACTTGTAGTTTTCAAGTTATGCTAAATATTATATTATTAAAGTTATATTAAAACCAGTATGTTTTAAGTTATGCTCTGGACAAGGAAAAGTATCAAAGGGCAGTAACTCTGTATTTTGTCAAATTGGAGCGATAGCTCTTATGCACTGCACTTCCTTTTAATGTCCTTGACAACTGTATGAAATTGTATTGAATTCCAACCAGTACTTTTCAAGTTATGCTCCGGACAAAGAAAAGTAACAAAGGGCAATAACTCTGTAATTATTCAAGATGGATTCATGTTTCTTGTGCACGGCACTTTCTCTCAATGTGCTTGAATATTGTATATTGAATTCCAACCATTAGTCTTCAAATTATGGTCCGGACAAAAGAAAGCAATGGAAAAGTAACAAAGGGCAATAACTTTGTAATAAGTCAAGATGGAGTTATGGTTCTTGTGCACTGCACTTCTCCTTATTGTGTTTGACCTTTGTATGAAGTTGTTTTTAATTCCAACCAGTAGTTTTTAAGTCATGCTCCATAGAAGGAAGAGTAACAAAGGGCAGTAACTTTGTAATAAGTCAAGATGGAGTTATGGTTCTTGTGAACTGCACTTTTTATCCATGTGCTTGACCATTGTATGAAGTTATATTGAATTCCAACAATTAGTCTTCAAGTTATGGTCCGGACAAAGAAAGCAATGGAAAAGTAACAAAGGGCAATAACTCTGTAATTACTTAAGATAGAGTTATTGTTCTTGTGCACTGCACTTCCCCTTTTTGTGTTTGACAATTGTATGAAGTTGTATTGAATTCCAATTAGTAGTTTTCAAGTTATGCCCCGGACAAGGAAAAGTAACAAAGGACAATAACTCTGTAATAAGTCAAGATGGAGTAATGGTTCCTGTGCACGGCACTTCCTTTTAATGTCATTGACAACTGTATGAAGTTGTATTGAATTCCAACAAGTAGTTTTCAAGTTATGCTCCGGACAAGGAAAAGTAACAAAGGGCAATAACTCTGTAATTAGTCAAGATGGAGTAATGGTTCTTGTGCACGGCACTTTCTCTCAATGTGCTTGACCATTGTATGAAGTTACATGTATATTGAATTTTAACCATTAGTCTTCAAGTTATGGTCCGGACAAAAGAAAGCAATGGAAAAGTTACAGAGGGCATTAACTTTGTAATAAGTCAAAATGGAGTTATGGTTCTTGTGCATTGCACTTCCCCTTATTGTGCTTGACCATTGTATAAGGTTGTTTTGAATTCAACCTGTAGTTATCAAGTCATGCTCCATACAAGGAATAGTAATAAAGGGCAGTAACTTTGTAATAAGTCAAGATAGAGTTTGGTTCTTGTTCACTGCGCTTTCTCTCCATGTACTTGGCCATTGTATGAAGTTATTTTGAATTCCAACAATTAGTCTTCAAGTTATGGTCCGGACAAAAGAAAGCAATGGAAAAGTAACAAAGGGCAATAACTCTGTAATTATTTTAGATAGAATTATTGTTCTTGTGCACTGCACTTCCCCTTTTTGTGTTTGACAATTGTATGAAGTTGTTTTGAATTCCAACCAGTAGTTTTCAAGTTATGCCCCGTACAAGGAAAAGTATTAAAGTGCAATAACTCTGTAATTAGTCGAGATAGAGTTATGTTTCATATGCACTGCACTTTCTCTTAATGTGCTTGACCATTTATTTAGTTATATTGAATTCTAACCATTAGTCTTCAAGTTATGCTCCGGACAAGGAAAATGCAACAGACGGCTGGACAGACCAACTGACCGACCAACCGACCGACCACCGGGTGACTCCTATGTACCCCCCCCCCCAAAAAAAAAAAACTTCGTCTAGGGGTTATAAAAACTTGAATTAGTGCAGATAATTCATAAAGACTTTCAAAGAAAATCATAATTGAGACAAATTGATAAAAAAAAAACAGAGGGTGACCATCCATCCCACCTTTTTTGTTACTCGCCCTGAGCTGAATACGTAAAACTGTACCAAGTAACGGTTAGTTTTATTTTAAATCTATTCTTTTGTTAGTTTATTCTCTGATAAGGTGCAACATTTGCTACAATTCTATGCGACTGGTTTTAGTCTATAGTTGCTTATGCAAATAAAATTTTCTTCGAGTTATGCCCCTTTTTGAAGTAAAAAAATATTTATCTATCTATTGTTTTCATGTCGTCAGTAATATCTAGTCGGATATCTGCTTCCATTAAATATTAAACGTCGAAGTCAAGAAAGATGTTTTTCATATACTCTAATTTGTTTCTAATATTTCTTACGTTTTGATGAAAAATAGAAAAAGACGCACACTCAGGATAACGATTCATTTCGACATCTCCAAAAAAGGAGCACCGCTAGGCGGAGCATTATATGCCCGAAAGTGTTTTTTTAAGTAAGAATGAAGCATTTGTAAGACATGGAAATTAAATAAAGTATTACCTCCTTTAAATAGCAATCCTCCTATGAAGTTTGAATATTGTGGGCCAAATGGAACTTAAATTATGCTCCGGAAACTGTTTTCAGTTTTAAGGTAAAAGTGACCTTGATTTTTGACCTTGTGACCCCAAAATCAATATGGGTCTTTTACCCAATATGGACAATCATACTATGAAGTTTGAACACTGTGGGCCAAATGGAACTTAAGTAATGCTCCGGAAACCAAATTGCTAACGGACGGACGGGCGGACGGGCATATGAAAATTAGTGAAATGTAATTCTCTTTTAACTAACGATATAATGAGTTCTGGACGAAAAACACCTTTTAACTGTTATTGCTTCATAAGCCGTTTTCCTCTCTTATTAAACAATCCAAGAGCTCATCAATAAGCTACAAGATCGTTCATTTATAAGAACACAGTAAAACTCCTTCATAAACTATGATCGTCCGTAGGACTGAGTAACGCAAGGTAACATCTTCACTGAGACTAAGTAACGGGCTGTAACGGATACGAAATATTTTGCATTTATAATATCTCTTGAAACATTTAAATCAATGCTATAAATATGTCTATCGTCAATTTTCAAACGAAGCTTAACAAAATAGAGTAAAAAGCTATTTATGAAATAAACATTTTATTTTTTCAAAAACATGTTAAGCTTACATCATTTTAGTAAGTTTGTAAAACATGTATGCCCCCTATCAACAGCCTATTAGTTAATAAGGTCAGGTTATTATGACTGACTTTGACCAAGTGACAAAAAAAATCAATAGGGGTTATCTACTGGTCATGAATATTCACTACTTATTTGTGACCGTAAATGTTGTGTGCAGCAATTTTATGACAAAGTTATCACAAATCGTACCAAATAATATATGCATAAATTCTATGAATCATGTAGGCCTCCTTAATGACAGTCAATTTGATATATGACATAAGACCTTGAAATTTGTATACCAAAAGCATTATTTTTAAAAATATCAACCAAGGCATATTCAGTAGTCGAGCTATTGGTCTGAAACTGTTTTTACATACAAGGTCAATGTGACCTTGACATTTGACGCCTAAATCCCCAAATTATAGGGGTCATCTTATAGTCATGTAAAATCATAATACCAAGTTTGAAGTTCCAAGACCTAAGCTTTCTTTAGTTATTGATCGGAAACTGTTTTTACATACAAGTACTATATGACCTTGACCTTTAACCCCTTGACCCAAAAAATAATAGGTGTTATTAACTGGTCATGTTAAATTATCACACCAAGTTTCAAGTTCCTAGGCCTAAACATTCTATAGTTATTGATCAGAAACCGCTTTTACCTACAAGGTCAATGTGACCTTGACCTTTGTTAACCCCAAAATAATATGGGTCATCTACAGGCTATGCATAATCATCATACCAAGTTTGAAGTTCCTAGGCCAGAGCGTTCTTAAGTTATTGATCTGAACTTTTTAACATACAAGGTCAATGTGACCTTGACATTTGATCCCTTGACCCCAAAATCAATAGGTGTCATTTACTGGCCATGTTCAATCATCATACCAAGTTTTAAGTTCCTAGGCCTAAACGTTCTTAAGTTATTAATCAGAAACCGCTTTAATCTACAAGGTCAATGTGACCTTGACCTTTGCTGACCCCAAAAATAAAATTGGTCATCTACTGGTCATGCAAAATCATCAAACCAAGTTTGAAGTTCCTAAGCGTTCTTTAGTTATTGATCGGAAATTTTTTACATACAAGGTCAATGTGGCCTTGACCTTTGAACATTTGACCTCAAAATCAATAGGGGTCATCCACTAGTCATGTACAATCATCATACCAAGTTTGAAATTCCATTCGGTCTACAGACCGACGGACCGACCGATCGACAGACAGACAAATTTGAAAGGGGCATAATTAGGGTTTCTATGCACAACTACTTGGTCATTGTAAAATTCGATTTAATGTATCAAATAAGTTATATTTTGAAAACATTCTGGTCCCACACAATGTCACATCCATCAATAATTTAATATACTGTAGAAAATTCAAGTTAAAAAATCTTTAAAAATCTACCTGAGAAATTACTTGCTCCAAGAATTCTTTTCACACAAATAATTATTTCTATAGCAAAAAAATCGACTTTGATAGTTACAAGTCATCGATACTGTTTCGACTGCACAACCCATAAGATTGCACGCATGACATGTCATTGACAATCACGTGATATTCGAATGAAAAATTACAATCTTAGAACACAAAAGGGTTTCGGTTTCCATTTGTAATTGCGTCCTAAATGGCCTCTTATTAGGCAAATCATGCAATGCACGAATACCAAATAACGTTTGTTTGTTGTTTTTTTTCCTGATTTGATTTTTTTTTAAATAGTGTGTGTGTGTATGTGTGTGCGCGTGCGTTGGTGCCCGCGTGCGTGCGCGCGCGTGTGTGTGTGTCTGTCTGTATGTATATACTCATGGGTATAATGCCCATATGTATTTTATAATTAAATTTTAAATCTGAAATCTATGTATACCTGTATATGCTATGAAGTTGTTTGAGAACTAAAAAAAAAAGAATAAAATAAAAATAAAACAAGGTTGCATTTGTGAAAAATGCTATGCCACCGCATTAATACAACTCCAAATAGTAGTGCAGGAACAGATTTATTTTGTTTCTATACAATTGAAGATTGTCATAATGCATAGATCCCTGGCCTATCTAATTCTTATTATCAGATTAGTGGTAAAATCTATTGTTAACTCAATTAAAGATCAGAGTAGGAATGTATCAATGCACTTGAGTCTAGTGAATTTGGTGGTGAAGGTCATATTTCACACAGCCTAAATTTCATGACTACATCAAAGAACAACACAGAAAGACTGTCAAAATCTAGGTCAGCTGATATTAAAGTTCACTTTACATCTTAATCTGTGCACATGGTTCAAATTTCATAGCTGTACATCAAAGGACAAGAAAGTAGGTCATATCATCAAAATCTAGGTCAACTGATATCAAAGTTCAATTTTACAACTAAAACTGTGCACATGGTCAAAATTTCATTGCTGTACATCAAAGGACAAGAAAGAAGGTCACTGTCCCGTTGGGTTTATTCAAAACAATCTTGATACAGGTCAACCAAACAACATTTCAAGTCAAATATCTAAGCTGTAGTTCTCCTATTCAGAAAACATTTGTTTTATTTTCTGTTTTTACTATGTGTACATAATCAGAATCACTGCCCCCGGGCAGGGCAAATTTTGACACCAGGGGGAAAATTTGACCAACTTTGGTAGAGTACTTATACCAAAGGCCTTTTGGGTCTTTTCAAGAAGATTTTTAAATTTATTCTTATAATTCCTTTTGGTTGCCATGGCAACCAGATTTCTCCATGGAATTAAATTTCTTGAACAACTTTGGTAGCCCTTCACCCAAGGATCAATCCTGCCAATTTTGGTTGAAATAAGAATAATGGTTTTTCACAGGAAGATTTTTTAAGTTCACTATATAATCTATATAACACACACACAAACAAACAAACACACACACACACACACGCACGCACGCACGCACGCACGCACGCACGCACGCACACACACACACACACACACAGGTGAATCACTATATGTCACCGCATCGCAGATGCTGCGGTGGCATAAAAATCTGACAACGTTCGCAGATAAGCCTATGAAGTCCTTCACTTGAATGCTTTGCGATCGAGTGAACTAAAACTTATTGTATAATTTTGGGGGGAAAAATCCTGAAAACTAAACGTACATTTTATAAATCAAAAGAAAATAAGCACTTGAAGTAAGGACCGATTAATTCATTAATGCAGAACGGTAAAAGCTCATAACCTCTACATGTGTTTAAAGTAAGACCATAACAAATTTATATTTTTTTATTCAAAAAGCTGTGTCAACTTTTTTAAATATCACATAATACTAGATAATACTAACCACTCGCTTTGTTTGTAAAATCCACAGAAACTTGAAATTCTGCCAATAAAAGCAGTAAAGTCCGATTTAAAAATTCTCATATTACCAGGACTGGGAATCAAAACTGCGTCGTATCCTACAATATGTAAACAAACGCCGCCATTTTGGAACGAAAAACGTATGTTTTTGTTTATAACTCTTTTTGTTGGTAATGACTGAAAAACAGATATATGTATTAACACGCTACACTATTTTCCGCTCTTCGTTCGGTATATGTTGCTTGCACAACTATTTTGTAAAACGAAAGTTATAGCGAACTTGAAACTCGAAGCGGAGCAGATTTTTTATGATAATGTGTGGATACGACGCAGTTCATATTGCTTTATATATCGTTTTTTCCTTCAAATAAACTATATACTCATTTCAGAGTTTACCATTAACTTCGAAATATAATTTTGCATCATTTCTAAAATTTCATTAAAAAGAGATGTTTATTTTCTAAGAAAATAATGATTTTTACGAAATGATAGGACGCAGTTGAAAATAAAATATGATACGACGCAGTTGTATTTTTGGCAGTCTTTTCAACAGGGGTAATTTTGGCATTAAACATGTATGTCTATTTTATGGAACAATCACTTGCGCTAGATGAAAAACCCAGATTATTTGCGGTGTATAGCGATGTTCTGTTGCTATTGATTATTTAGAATACATTGTGTCATGTCCAATATAACTTTTAATTTGAAAGTTTACATTGCGGAATGAGTACAATATATACTTTAATTATTCAGTGACGTAAGAAATGAAGCAAACAATCATATTGTTACGGCGTTTTACTTTCAATTTATGTATTTGCACACACGTATGAGTCGTTGTTATTGTTTATATGTTTGTTTGCTTGTTGTTTTCCCCATTCCTGTTGCATAAGATTGTTCTTTATTGTAAACTATGTAAATATGTATGTATGTATACGTACTTAAGTTAGTCATAATGTTGTAAGCCAAACCTTTATATAAATAAATTATACTTCATATCACTACAATGAACAAAGATATTTCTGATTTTGTATTTCGAGTCTGTATGTTTTCGACAAGATGAGTTTTGATATCAATACAATTAAACATTAAACTTTCCGATAAGTTTTGTACAACATTAGAATCAGTAATCAAATTGAATCAGGTTTAATAATCTGTTTGAAAAGTACAATAGAAAATGTATTTCTAGTTGAGGTCTCTTGTAAACTTTCGTTTCGAACAAGATTGTCTCACATATAGAACGAAATTTTAATGCTTTCTTAATATATATCATATATTTTTGGATGAATATTTAACAATAGTATCAAGAGCAAGACTGATAATTATTATCTGTATACTCCTCAGAATAACAGAATAATTACAAGCATTCTGACAAATTCTTTAAAGCTGTAATACAAAGCTGACATTGTGATACATTTCTTTATTTAATTATTTATTTGTCTGTTAGCTTACGTATTTATTTATATACCTTAAATATGAGTATGCTTCTAGAAATATGGTAAATATTGATTTCTGAATTGTTGTTTTCTGTAAATTGATATTGCGTTATGTTTACAGTTATATATTTGACTACATGTTATTATTGTGTCTAGCTGTTAAACTGTTTTGTTAATTTCTTGTAGTTATATGTTTGTATATATGTTCAGCTCTTCATGTACATTGAAGGAAATAAAGTATCTATCTACTTTACAGTTAAACATGAACATGTTTCTTAATTTGTCATAATTTTTTGAAATTATTTCTTATATTTTCCTGTATCTTCAATATTATCTCTATTTTTTGGCAAAAATATAGAAGTCTATGAACTTGAACCATCGACATTTCGAAACTACATGTAGCTTGATAGGTTTCCACACGAAAGAATAAAAAATCCCTGGTGGTTTTCACAGCAGTTCAGTTCAAGTGATTTGAATTGAGTAAACATAAACAGCTCGGCTTCGGTCGAACACCAGTCCTGTCTGATTTTTTTCCAACAATTTGTTAACGTCAGCTGTACAAATAAGCAGTTTAAGTGTGTTTTTTTTATATTAACTTCTGGCGTGAAGTTTTAAGATTATAAATATTTGAATTGATTTTAAAGACAATAAAATTTAACTTTCTTATTGAAATGAAATATTTCCTTAATCTCTAAGATTAATTTTACTTTGACATTTCGGTGCGATTAGCAGAGAAATTTTCAATGTAAACAGGGGTAATCCTCTTTGAAGTCATTTTCTGAAAAATTTTGTTTAATTTTTCAGGAAATTATTTTCAAATAAAAATCACACTTTAATTTGAAGGTATGTTTAGATGCCATGTCTCTAGTCTGTGGAAAATTAGATGCGATAACCTGATTTAAATTTGCTCTTCAATTCAGTGAAAACTTTCTAACGTCCTGTCGTGCATACATCTGTATCAAATTTATCGGTGCAAAGCGTAAAATACCTTTGCAAAACGGACACCTACTTTACAAAATAATTTGTAGTTTTATCATTTGTAACTAGATTTTGAAATTTAAAGTTTATTAATGGAGAAGAATGATACTTTAGTGCAAAAATAGAAAATACATTCCGTAGACCTGTTCTCATCGGCGAAATGCAATACGACAAAATCGGCGGTAAAGTTCCGCGGCGCTGAACAAAAAATTACTGAACGGAACGCATACCCTACTTGTAAAAATATATCGTAGCTTAAACATTAATAATATAATTTTAAAAATCTAATGTTCAGTTTCAAATAATAAAGCTCATTTGTTCTCACCGATTATTAACAAAATGAATACAATAAAATCGGCACGTAAAAGACATAATAACGGCATTGGCGAAAATTGTTGCCAAAGGTAGGCATGCAATTTGTGCATACTTCTTTTAAGATAGCAAGAGACCTTTACAAAATTTGTGATTCTTTAATTTTTTTCAAAAAAAAAAAGAACAAATGTCATTCCTGATTGATACAGGGTCCAGGAGAGGTTACCCTGAAATATTGAATTTTGTATCAAAATTTTGTAAATGAAAAAAGTAACCACCCCAATTTCGAATATCGGGAACAAGTTAATAAGCATGAAAAGGCAACACTAGACCACGTTGTCATATCGGTGTGCGATCACGTGTCTCAATGTATATTGCATTTGATACAGTTTTCCGGAATTTGTAGATGCTTATGACAGGAACTAAAAATGCGACCGAAAAATGAAGCCTTAATAGAATTTTTATTACATTTTCCATTTTTGTGGAACCAATGAGTGACCTCTGCCTTTGACTTAAGTTGTAAACAAGAAATGTTGTTGGACGTTATTAGCATACCTAGCACATAATTAATAGCTGAACCAAAATGCAGCCAAAAATGAAAATACAACTGCGTCGTATCATATTTTATTTTCAACTGCGTCGTATCATTTCGTAAAAATCATTATTTTCTTGGAAAATAAACATCTCTTTTTTGTGAAATTTTAGTAAATGATGCAAACTCATACTTTGAAGTTAATGGTGAACTCTGACACTAGTATACAATTGATTTGTAGGAAAAAAACGATAGATAAAGCAATATGAATTGCGTCGTATCCAGACGTTTTCATAAAAATTCTGCTCCGCTTGAGTTGCAAGTTCGCTATAACTTTTGTTTTACAAAATAGTTGTGCAAGCAACATATACCGAACGAAGCGGAAAATAGTGTAGCGTGTTAATACATATATCTGCTTTTCAGTCATTTCCAACAAAAATAGTTATAATCAAAAACATACGTTTTCATTCCAAGGTGGCGGCGTTTGTTTACATTTTGTAGGATACGACGCAGTTTTGATTCCCAGCCCTGATTACTTTGGTAGAATTATTATATATTTGTAAATCTCTTGCCTGCTATTTTTTATGAATAATGCAACAAAAAGGGAGATAAAAAAGCTAGAACAGTTAAATAACAGAGGATATAATTTAGGTCACCATCAGAACCAAATCGAAATTGAATGTTTCAAACTCGGTATAATTGAGACAATTCATGATTCAAGCTACCGTCCGGGATCCTAGGTCCGACTGAAGCAGCACCCAATATAAATACATTAAAAAAGTGAAATTTTGATACATCGAAGATGTTTTTAAATGGCGGTGTTCATGGTACCTTCAATGTTACACCCGTATGTATTTCAATGAAAAGCAGCAAAGGGTCCCAAATTAAAGGAATGCATTGTTTTAAACGAGAAAATGACGGGCAAAGCAAATTAGGGTGGAATTCTTAGATAAAATAAGATGTTACAAGCCTGTGTATCACAGAAAACTGTCAAAATAAAACAAAAGAAACAGGCAACTTATCCTTAGGGTGTAAGTACGGCTATACTAGTTTATTATTCACGTGAAATAAAATTTCAAATTAGAAGAAACACCACAAGGGCCGTGCTAAAATATAAAAAATAAACGTGCTAAAATATTCAAATTAAAACAGCTTTACTTAATTTTAAAGGAATCATTTTTACGCATTTCTTACGGTGTTTAGTTTACAAATCCGCCCGGCCTTACTTCTTGTTCGTTTCAAAATTGCCAAAAGCGTTTATTTGCTTACGAGACGGAAAATCGCTAGAGGAGATGCTATTTTATGACGTTGAAAATATTTTTCACCCAAATAATGTAAATAAAATGTATTAAAAACAACAACATCAAAAACTCTTGACATTGTACCCAGTGACCTCAAACTCCATCCACAATCAGAGGATACGAAATACATCGAACAACAAGAAATGCCGAGCGACACATATACCCCTTTCTAGCCCTTGACTCACATTATTGGTAATTTTGTCGGCAAATTGGTACATGAAAGTGTTCAGTTATGGAAAAGGAAAAATAATGATCTACTAGTTATAACCAATCAATACTAGTATGTGAAATATAAAGACCTTGACCTTTGAACTACTGACCAAATTATGACTAATAAATATGTGAAATACATTGTATGAAGAATTGGTGATAAAAAAATCAAGCTAATAAGCGGAAAACATATTTACATTTAAGGCCCTTGTGACCTTGACTTTTGAACTAGTGATCCCAAAATCAATAGTGGTCATCTACTATATATGGCTAATCAATTTGTGAAATATGAAGACTTTAAGATAAATAGTTTTCATGATAATGAGCGGAAACCATTCTGACATTTTAGGCCCCTGTGACCTTGACCTTTTACATAGTGATCCCAATATCAATA